TGAGATCATCTAGGAAAACTAGTACCTCATGTAAGTTCATGTCGCCGACGCAGCGCTCCATGAGCCGCTGGAAGGTGCTGGGTGCGTTGGTTATGCCCTGTGGCATGCGGTTGAACTCCCAGAATCCAAGTGGTGTTACAAACGCGGTCTTTTCTTTGTCTGCTTCCTCAACCTCAATCTGGTAATACCCAGACTTGAGATCGAGGACTGTAAACCACTTTGATCCCGAGAGTGCTGAGAATGTCTCTTCTAAATTTGGAAGAGCATAAGAGTCTTTTCGCGTCTGCAAATTTAGTTTGGGAAGTCTATACATAGACGGACATCGTTATTTCGTTTTCTCACAAAAACAATGGGAGACGAGTAGGGTGACTGTGACTCTCTTATTACACCTGCAGCGAGCAGTTCTTGGAGGTGTTTGCGCACCGCCTCAAGATCTTGAGGGTGGATCGGGCGTGCACGGTGCTTAAAAGGAGTTGGATCATGAAGTTTGATGGAGTGCTTCACTTTGCTCGTGCACCCAAAGTCAAGATCATGAAAAGCAAATACTTCCGGAATGTCAGCGAGTTGCTTAGTTATTCGTTCTTTCCACTCCTGTGAGATTGGTGAGTCACTGAAATTGAAACTCAGCTGCGTTTTATTTGCGGTGGACTCATTTTCACTGGTGACATTATGCTGGGACAGGATACAGTGGAAAGCTCCAAGCTCTGCAATGACACAGGTGGACGGAATTGTGACATCTTGTTCCGTTTCATTTGCGATCATTACAGGCACTTTGTGTGGCGCTTGCGATGGAAGAGTTATCAAGCAAGTTTTGACACATAGGCCCCCAGGTACGGAAGACTGAGAGGGGTGTTCAACTATAACATAAGTCTCATTATCATTAGAAGTGCAGTGAACGTTAGCAAATCCCTCTAAAATTACAGTTCTCCCCGCTGGGATCACTGCTGCAGTCTTGCCTGACAAGGTAACTAATCCAGTGTTCCCGTCTTTGTTGTGTGCATGTCTTAGTTCAAGCGTCTTTAACAGTGCTCTATACCCATAAGGACAAGGTAGGTAATCTAGAGTCTTCATGTCTAAATACCTTTCATAAAGAACATCAAGGGTATTTGTTCCCACCAACACTGGTGTCTGAATGTTGGGGTGAGTGTCTGGAACGACAAGAGCTAAGGTTGGTATGTCAATCTCTGCATCTAAGAAGTCTTTTGGAAAGGTAACGCACATTTCTATATAACCCAAATAAGGGACAGGCTGACCTGCGGCACCCTCCACTTCTAATAGGTCATAAAGTGGGTTAAGGTCTTGATCTGGAAAGTTCTGTTTATAAAATGACTCAGTGACAGTAGTCACTTGTGACCCTGAGTCAAGAAGACAATTAACATTAACGCCAGAAATGTTAACCATAGCTGTGCATTTAGAGCCAACTAACCCTTTTGGTAGACTGTACTTTTGAGGCTTGATTACAGACTGCTTCAGGTTAGCTCGTTGCTTAGTGGGACATGTTTTACTAGCTACAGTCCCCATTTGCCCCACAATAGAGACTGTCTTCAGTTTAACTGTCCTTTAGCGGCTGAAGGGTTTTCAGCTTCCCATTTCTTTTATATCTCCTTGAGCAGTTTACGCTTTTCAGTAACTCTGTCTGGGTTTGGTTCGTTTTCACAGTTGGGTTTGATGTGGCCATCTTCTCCACACTGGAAACAGTACCATGCTTTGGGAGCGGTACTCTGCGTTTTGTTTGTTTGTTCATGTTCCTTGGTTACTTTTTCGAACTTTGGTTTCTCTTTTTGTTTTGAGTTGGGTGCACTTTGTGAGTTCTGAGTTTTAGGTTTTGCAGCGAGTTTTACTAGTTGACTTTGGATTTCTGCAACTTGCTTTGAGAGTTCTTTGATTGAGGTTAGTGTATTTGCATTATCATTATCTTCCACGCAGCATGTTGCAATCTGCAAGTGGGATGTTGCTTTTTGTTTTGTACTGCTTAAATGTTGTCTCATGCGCCTGTTTTTTGGCAGCATTTTGGTCCTCTTCAGCACGTAGTGAAAAAAGAAGATCCGGGAAGGTTGGAGGATTGGTTCGTTTTTGCTTTAACTGTAATGCAGTTAAAAGGGAATCGTCCCAACAACCTCGACAAAACTGTGTGACAAGAAGTCTGTCAAAATCATTGATCAGCGCACCACCACGCTTTACAGTGTGCGTCAAAGCTACATGAAGGCGCTGTAAGTACAACGATGCTCTTTCCCCTGTGTTTTGAAAAGTGTCAAGAAACTTTGCGTAAAGCTCTCCACCATCTTGGACTGTTCCAAAAGCAGAATCCAACAGCTGAAGGTACTCTGACGGTGAGCTGTTGGGGTTCAAGTGCCTAACTACATCAGCTGCCGGGGGTAAGAGAGACTCAATGATTCGACGGGATTGTTGCAGTTTGGACATGGAAGGATCAGTCATGATAAGATCTACACTGGAGCGCCAAGTGTCATAATCTGGCTCATAAGTTGGTCGGGGTTCTTTGCCAGAAAACACTCTCAGTTTTTGTGAAAACTGCTGCACAGAATAGTCTTCTCTTTTTACAATGTGCTCAACTACCATGCGCTGCACTTCTGGGGGATTTAAATCGTGTGCAGAAATGGTGGGCATTGTATTAGCTGGGCTACTCACAGTGTTATTTGTCTCGTTAGTTTGTTGTGTACTTTGCACACAAGTCTGAACTGGTGAAGGCTGAGAACCGACCAATGAAGGGTCAGTAGAGTTAATTGTCTCAGTTGGTTCAGTTCCAGATTCTTCGATTGACTTAGCAATCTGTGACATCATGTCTTTTAGGACATCTACATAATCTCTGCCACTCATCTTGGCTAGGTTATGGATTTCAGAAAGATATGACTTGGTAGTGTCATTCCCTACCTGTTTTGTGTAAACACCGGCAAGAGCTTGTATCTTATAGCTAGCGCCGCTATCAGATACGTGGGTACAAGGTAACGGTTCAAGGGATTCAACAGCAAAGCCTGAATTGTACTCCACAATAACACTCCGGAAAAACTCAGATTTACTGTCATTAATTTTAAGGACTCTTAAAATAGACCCATATTGTTTTAGGAATTCAGTCACCTCATCAATTTGTTCATCTCCAGCCATTTCGCTCACAATCACCGCATTGGGAACTTTTATGGATTCACTTTCAATAATCTCCATCTTGAGTACGTTATGTGTTAGAAATAACGTCAGAAAATAAAATAAAAAGGCTCCTGGCTGGCTCGCCAAACTTTATGTAACCCTTGGCTCACGTTAGTTTAGGTAAGGTGGAACTAAAAGTATAGACCAGTTGCTAGGTTCAAAAGGATTACAATAAAAAAACTACGGTGAATGCTTAATGAAATGGCAGGAGGCAACAACAATGTAAAGAAAAATGTTATTTAGTAAACAATTGAAAATAAATCAGTTTGATACAGTGTTTAACAAATGAGCATTGCCGGCAAATGCAAAACAAAAATATATCCCCAGTCGCATTGAGCTCAGTTAGTCTTTTATAAGTTGTAGTCAAGTCAATATTCTTTAAGTTCAGTTCTTTTCCTTCAGAAGTGGTTATTTAAGGTGTTACCACTCGGCACTTAGGAACGATGGTGGTTCAACTCGAATCCAGTTCTGGGCACAGGCTCGCCATCTCCATCCAGAGAGAATCCAAAGAATCCATCTAGGTTTTCTTTACCATGGAAAACTAGCCTGCACAACAATAATGGTATTATTGTTTACAGCTGTTATCCTATCTCTGCTATAGCTAAATCTTTTTACTCTATTATCATGTTACAAAGTATACAATAATATTTTACATGCATGTTTTTAACTCAAATATCCTTTTGTATTACATGAAATAGTTTTTAATCCTTGTAAAACAAATGAAAATATCACTATCCTTTTTTAAACAATTATTTAACCATAACATTATGATTAAACATTTTTAACAATTAGCATATACATTTATAAATGAATTTTAACTTGTTGTAACTCATAAAATGAATAATACTAATGAATTCAGATATTCCACTCCAAAATCAACAATTGTATCAGTAAAACCTTATCTGTGCTACTGGGTTTAGCATTAAAGAAGAAATACTATACACTTTCATACAATAAACCATAGAAATGTACAATCAACCTCAAAATAATACTTACATATGACCAAAAATAGTATGAAACTAACAAAAATTGATTCTCAGTATAGTTATGAACTACATAGAATAAGGTAGAAACCATATTTAAACCAAAAATAGCTTTTACATCGCTAACAAACATAAAAAACGGCACTCGCGATTAGCGTTAGCATCGCGCCAGTATTAGCATTGCGCTAACACGTTTTTCTAGCCCTCACAAGGCATTGACTTACCAAGATGAGGTATCGTGAGGAACACAGCAAGGGCACAACAACACTGTCTCTCCAGCTCGTGCTCCTTCCACTTAATACAACAAACATTCCCAAATCAACAAAAAGACAATTTAACTATTTACACCATTTTGTTTTATCAAACTCACCAGACGACCCATAGAGTTTAGCATGGACCGTCTACAGCCTGTCTCGTTCATTCCCAGAGTGCAAAAAGACAGAAAATTCTCGAAAGATTCAGTCCGCCACTAGGGGGGCGGGACTAATACCTCTGAACCAATCACAAGGTCATTATCTCTCAACATGACCGCGAAACAGGAAAATAAAGTTTTAGCAAGGGGATCACACTTCCTCTTTTCAAAATAAAAGTACATACACATAAATACAGAAAAAGAAAGAGAAAATGACCCATTTTCTCTACTGGGTTACAAAGGTCACACTAAAAACACTACACACAAATAAAACTGGCTTTAGATTTGGAGTCCCAGGCTAAAATCTATGTTTGACATTTACCCCCCACCTCTATAGTTGGTCGTCCCGGCCAATTACCTTTGATACCGAACAGGGGGCCTGCCAATATTTGACCGGTGGGAACGTCTCACAGGGGGAACTGGGCCATTTCTTGGGTCAGGTGGGCTTACTGGCTGGGGTGCTTCGTTGCGGGGGAGCTCTGGTTGCGCCAGCCTTGGGAGCCAAAGTGTGGGGGGGGGCAGCTCATCAGCTTTGTGTCCAATTGATAGTTGTGGTGCTGCCGGTTGCTGCCTTTCCTGCACAAAGTCAATTGGGCAAAGACGGAGGTTATTCCGGTGAACCGTACGGCTAGGTGCTTCTCTCCCCTTCGGTCGAACCATGTAGGTCGGGTGGTCTTCCTGGAGTCTCCTCACCACCACAAATGGCTCCGGGCCCCATTTTCCCCTCGACCCCTTGCGGAACACACGGATTAGGACACGCTCACCTGGTAGTAGTGGTCCAAGTCTGGCTTTAAGATTATACCGGCCCTCATCTTGTCTCCCTCCTGCGTCTGGACTGTGCCTTTGCTGTCTGGTACGCAAGATTTAGGGCCTCATGGTGTTGTTTTACCCATCCGTCTAGAGTGTGGTTCTCTCCGGTGGTTCCCAAGCCAGTCATCCAGTCTACAGGGAGCCTCGCGTGTCGTCCAAATACCAGGTAGTGTGGCGTAATCCCTGTAGTACTGTGCACTGTATTGTTATAGGCTTGCACCAGTGTGGGGAGGCTAGTGGGCCATTGGGTCTGCCGAGTTTCTGTCAGGGAGCTCAAGAGTCTTATTAGTGTTTGGTTGAATCTTTCGCAAGCCCCGTTACCTTGCGGATGATATGCTGTAGTGCGGCTCTTCTTACACCCGTAGAGTTGGCAGAGCTGGGCCATGAGTGCAGATTCAAAGGCAGCCCCACGATCGGACAATATACGTTCCGGACAGCCGAACGTGTGGATCAGGTGAGTGTAAAGGGCTTTCACTGTAGTCTCAGCTGACTGGTCCTTTGTGGGCACTGCAACAGCATACTTTGAAAATAGATCAGTCATCACAAGTATATATTGGTAGCGATCGTCTGGGCGCCCAAGGGACAAATAGTCTATGCCTACAACCTCAAAAGGGTATGAGGTGCTAACTGGGTGCAGTGGGGCCCTTCCGGAAGGGCCAGCTCTATTGCAGACACACTGGTGACATGATTTTGTCCAGCCCTTAATGTCCCGGGCCATTCCTGGCCAGTAACAACGCTGTCTTACAATAGCTAAAGTCCGCTCGCAACTTGGGTGTCCCATCCCCTCGTGATAGTTTTTCCACACATCTTGAGCTTTCCGTTTTGGGACCAGAACTTGGGACAACATGAGTTCGGAGCCTCCCTCTTCCCACTCTCTCACCAGCACACCCCCTTTCACTTTAATCCTATCCCAGTCCCTTATCAGCCCATGTAAGTAGGGGGAAAAGTGTCCACGTACCTCAGGCTTAAGGGGTCCGAGTGTTTTCCACTGCAGAAGCTGGGCAAGATCTGAGTCTTCGCTCTGGTACTCCTCCCAGGTTCCCTCATTGGAGACCACAGCATCCACAGCTTGTACAAGTGCTTCCTCTGGCCTCTTTTCATGGAGCCTGGAAAGTGCATCAGCATTTTTATTCTCTGTGCATGGCCGGTATTTGATTGAATACCTGAAGTTGGCCAGCTGGGCCACCCATCTCTGTTCAGTGGCCCCTAGGCGCGCAGTCTCGAGATGCACCAGGGGGTTATTGTCAGTGAAGATTGTGAACTCTGACCCGTACAGATAATCCTTGAACTTTTCAGTTACCGCCCACTTCAAGGCCAGCAATTCCAATTTAAAAGAACTATAGTTTTGGTCATTTCGTTCAGAGGCTTGGAGACTTCTGCTGGCATAAGCAACTACCCTTTCCTTCCCATCCTGGATTTGGGCTAGCACTGCCCCGAGCCCATCAAAACTTGCATCGGTATACAACCTAAATGGCTGAGTAAAGTCTGCGTATGCCAAAATGGGAGCGTCCAGCAGGGCAAGTTTAAGTGAATGGAAAGCTTCTTGGCATTCATTAGTCCACACCACCTGTGTGGATTTCCTCTCTAATGCAGTGTTACGGGTCAGGGCATGGAGAGGCCTAGCAATCTTTGAAAAGCCCGGGATAAACCTGCGGTAGTATCCTGCAAAGCCCAGAAATGACTTTACTTGCCTTACTGTTTGTGGTATGGGCCAGTCTCGAACAGCGTCAGTCTTGGCTGGGTCAGTAGCCACCCCGTTCTCACTGATAACGTGGCCCAAATAGGTTACGTGTCGTCTGAACAGGTGGCACTTCTTTGGTTGTAGTTTGAGGCCATGTTGGTTCAACCTTTGGAAAACGTCCTCCAGGTGCTGCATGTGGCTCTGAAAATCTGGGGCAGCTTGTTCACGTCCCTGTAAGTACTCAGCTCGTCTGGCGTTATATACAGTGCTCCCCTGAGCTGGATCCGCTGGGCCGGGTCCGCTGCTCCGCTCTGCTGGGGGTCGGGCTGGGCCTGGCGCGCGTTGCTCCGCTCTGCTGGGGCTCGGGCTGGGCCTGGCGCGCACTGCTCCGCTCTGCTGGGGCTCGGGCTGGGCCTGGCACGCGCTGCTCCGCTCTGCTGGGGCTCGGGCTGGGCCTGGCGCGCGCTGCTCCGCTCTGCTGGGGCTCGGGCTGGGCCTGGCGCGCGCTGCTCCGCTCTGCTGGGGCTCGGGCTGGGCCTGGCACGCGCTGCTCCGCTCTGCTGGGGCTCGGGCTGGGCCTGGCGCACTGCTCCGCTCTGCTGGGGCCGCTCTCTGCTGGGCCGGGTCTGCTGCTCCACTGGGGCTTGGTGCGCCACACCAGGGTAGCTGCTGAGAAAGCAAGCAATCAGGCGCCGGTCTCACGCGCACGCACACACACACAGAGTCTGGGGCAGCTTGTTCACGTCCCTGTAAGTACTCAGCTCGTCTGGCGTTATATACAGTGCTCCCCTGAGCTGGCTCCGCTGGGCCGGGTCCGCTGCTCCGGGTCCGCTGCTCCGGGTCCGCTGCTCCTTGGGCTGGGGCCTGATGCGCCACGCCAATGCAGCTGCGGAGAGAGTGGGCAATCACGCTCCGGTCTCACGCGCACGCCCACACACCAACTGAGGCTGCTTGATCACGTCCCTGTATACTCAGCTTTACGGGGCGTTGTATGTGGGCTCTGCAGGTCTCTCCTTGGGGCGTGCTGCTCCTCGTGCGTGCTGCTCCGCGTGCGTGCCGGTCCTGGTGCGTGCTGGTCCTGGTGCGTGCTGGTCCTGGTGCGTGCTGGTCCTTGTTTCCCCTTGTCCTCTGTCCTCGTCCCCCGTAACGCTTCCGATTTCCTTCCTCTCAGTCCCTCTGTCCGGGTTTTAAAAAGGGGAAAGTCCTCCAGTCCGACCAATCAATCATAAGGGGGAGGGCTATCAATCAGGACTGTCCCAGGCTCAAGCCAAAGTCAGTATATAAAAACAAGGTCACACTAAAAACACTACACACAAATAAAACTGGCTTTAGATTTGGGGTCCCAGGCTAAAATCTATGTTTGACAAATGCAAGCAATAACATTTAAATTAGCAACTATATCAATATCAAAAAACAGAGTTCAGGTAGCCATCCAAAATGAGAGTTTTAAACATTCTTTTAAAGTGGTAAAATGAATTGCACGACTGAAGTTCATCTGTGCATCGATTCCAGAGATCAACCCCTCTAAACAACTTTTCATTACATTAGTTCTATATTTTTGTTTTATGAACATGTATGTTCCTCTCAGTTCATAATGACTATCTTTGATTGTGAACATTTTCTGTAGTGGTTCAGAAAGGATGTCATTTTTTTATCTTGAACATTACTATCAAACTGTAAAGGTCAACTAAATCATAGAATTTTAGTATTTGTAGATGTATAAACAGTGCATTTGTTGGCTCGTTGCAGGCTGATAATGTAATCGCTCTTACTGCCTTTTTTTGTAATATGAAAATTGGTTTAGTATTAGTTTTTTTAAGTGTTGCCCCATATACAGTATGTAATAGAGGGCATTACTAATGAGTTATATATATGTGTATGTATATATTATTGCTGTTACTTTGGACAGTTTATTTCTAATATTGTTTATGTGTGATTTCCAACTGAGCTCCCTGGAACTACATGTCAATGGTTACTTCCGGGTTTTTTGCGATTGTTTTTTGTCACATTTAAATAGTAATTTGGTCAAGCTCCACTAGCTTCTCTCGTTGTACTTGCGGAGTAATGTTAGTAATGAGAAGCCATTGAGCGAGTTGGGGGGCGGTGCTAAACATTCAAACCTTGCAGAAATGGGTATAGCGCCTTTAAGTACTGTACTTGTACTAGTCTTTTTGCAGGGCTTTCCTGTTTCTGACCTCAAAGCTACACCTGGGAGGTATGTTGTTTTTCCAATAGCATTCATACTTTGCTTTTATTTTACGACTGTTGCGGTAAAAGTTTAGTGAAGGCGCACTAATAAGGATGCATTTAATCTCCAGCAGAAACACTGGGCGCAGGCCCTGTCAAACAAGGGCATGCCTCTGTCTCAGAAAGCAGTGCAATTTCATAGCTACTCAATTCATTAGGTAGCTGTACCTGCTTGTTGAAGGCTGATCTCATCAGATTTCAGAAGCTGCTTGGAACACCAGGTGCCAAAATGATACGCTGAGGCTATTAAGTTTTTATTTTCTATATGATGATAATTTTAATTTGCCCTTCCAGAATACAAATAAAAATCCCTTCCAGAATACACACCCGGCTCCATATTGATATGTTTAGATTTCAGTTAAAATTATTCGTCATTTCAGTGTAAATTACACTGAAATGAGGAGTTTTGGAATGCATGTGTGTTTATCATGTTGGACAGACAGACACAGGCACATACAGACACAGGCACATGCAGACACAGGCACAAACAGACACAGGCACAAACAGACACAGGCACATACAGACACAGGCACATGCAGACACAGGCACAAACAGACACAGGCACATACAGACACAGGCACATACAGACACAGGCACATACAGACACAGGCACATACAGACACAGGCACATACAGGCACATACAGACACAGGCACATACAGACACAGGCACATACAGACACAGGCACATACAGGCACATACAGAAACAGGCACATACAGACATAGGCACATGCAGACACAGGCACATACAAACACAGGCACATACAGACACAGGCACATACAGACACAGGCACATACAGGCACATACAGAAACAGGCACATACAGACATAGGCACATGCAGACACATACAGACACAGGCACATGCAGACACAGGCACATGCAGACACAGGCACATACAGACACAGGCACATACAGACACAGGCACATACAGACATAGGCACATACAGACACAGGCACATACAGACATAGGCACATGCAGACACATACAGACACAGGCACATGCAGACACATGCATACACAGCCACATACAGACACAGGCACATGCAGACACAGGCACATGCAGACACAGGCACATACAGACACAGGCACATACAGACACAGGCACATACAGACACAGGCACATGCAGACACAGGCACATACAGACACAGACACATGCAGACACATGTGTCTCACATTCCTCGGGCCAAGGCCATAATAACAAAAGGTCCCATCTACAACAATCTCACACTTCAGTGTCCAGCTCGGATCCCGTCTCCCCCGCCTCCCTCTCTATCCATCTTGCTCCCTCCCTCCCCTCCACTCCTCACTGTGTTTCCGACTCACCCCCCTCCCTGACCCCGCCCCCCTCTGACAGCCACATTGGGCCGGCTGTAGGAGGTGCTTCATCCCGAGAAAAAATCCGTGCTTTACACAAGGCACAATGTGTCTATCCAACTGTCTGTGATACTGTATGTTATTGCTCTCTGCTGTTTATTCTACTGTTTGTCGCATGGCGCCGTAAAGATGGCGCCGTGGCAAGAGCTCTGGTGTGTGTCGTCTCCTCTGTCTGGTGCACACCGGGGTAGTCTTGCACAGTTTTTCCAATGTGGTTTTACTGCAAATGGCAAATAAATGAATCTGAATCTGAATCTGACAGGCACATACAGACACAGACACATGCAGACACAGGCACATGCAGACACAGGCACATGCAGACACAGGCACATGCAGACACAGGCACATACAGACACAGGCACATACAGACACAGGCACATACAGACACAGGCACATAAAGACACAGACACATATAGACACAGGCACATACAGACACAGACACATATAGACACAGGCACATACACACACAGACACATATAGACACAGGCACATGCAGACACAGGCACATACAAACACAGACACAGGCACATGCAGACACATACAGACACAGGCAAATAAAGACATAGGCACATGCAGACACATACAGACACATACAGGCACATGCAGACACAGGCACATGCAGACACATGCATACACAGCCACATACAGACACAGGCACATGCAGACACAGGCACATGCAGACACAGGCACATACAGACACAGACACAAACAGACACAAGCACATACAGACATAGGCACATGCAGACATAGGCACATACAGACACAGGCACATACAGACACAGGCACATACAGACATAGGCACATGCAGACACATACAGACACAGGCACATGCAGACACATACAGACACAGGCACATACAGACACAGGCACATACAGACACAGACACATGCAGACACAGGCACATTCAGACATAGACACATGCAGACACAGGCACATGCAGACACATACAGACACAGGCACATACAGACACAGGTGGCTGAGTGGATAGCACTCTCGCCTCTCAGCAAGAAGGTCCTGGGTTCGAATTCCGGTCGGACCAGGGCCTTTCTGAGTGGAGTTTGCATGTTCTCCCCGTGTCTGCGTAGGTTTCCTCCGGGTACTCCGGTTTCCCCTACCACTAAAAATATGTACAATAGGTCTGGCATGCGCCTCCTGTATTGGCGACCCCGCTCCCATCTCTGTGTGGAGTGAGAGGACAGATGCCCAAAAAAATAACCATTGTAAACCGCTTTGTGACTCTGGTCTGTGAAAGGCGGTATATAAATAAACATTACTTACTTACTTACTTTACACAGGCACATACAGGCACATACAGACACAGGCACATACAGACACAGACACATGCAGACACAGGCACATTCAGACATAGACACATGCAGACACAGGCACATGCAGACACAGGCACATGCAGACACAGGCACATGCAGATACAGGCACATACAGACACATACAGACACAGGCACATACAGACACATGCAGACACAGGCACATTCAGACATAGACACAGGCACATATAGACACAGGCACATACAGACACAGGCACATACAGACATAGGCACACACAGACAGACACAGACACATACAGACACAGGCACATACAGACAGACAGATACAGGCACATACAGACAAATGCAGACACATACAGGCACAAACAGGCACATAGTGTTTCTGTTTTAAAACATTACGTGCCATCGTAAAGCTCATGTCGAAGGACTAGAATGAGACCAAAGCCTGATCTCCCCTCCTCTGAGCCGTCTAATCAGGTTTATTCTACTGACATTCTGGGACACAGAGCAGCTCAGTGGTCAACTGTCTTTGATGATTTTCATTTCTGTTATTTGGTGTCTGTACAAGATTCAGTCTGACAATATTGTTTTGATTTCTGTAAATCATTCACAGAACCTCCCTCTGCCGGCATCGTCACAAATACTACAACTGTGTTCTCTGACGCAAGTTACCTTTGAAAACAGTTCCCAAAAAGCAAAAAACAAGTACACATGCTGCAAAGCCTTATTTGATTAAAACAAATCATAATAGGATATCTATGCAAGTTTTTTTATGGACCGACAATGGCACCATGTTCCAACATTGTCCCTTGTAGTTGTTCGTAGCTCCATTAATGCTAGTATAAGGAACCCGTATCCCCTTTACCTTCAGTCTAAAGATTAAAATGAAAAGATCCTATATTTGTCCCACAGTGGGGAAATTTTAGTGTTGCATCCCACGTTGCAGACAGTAGAAAAGAGAAGCACACAGCACAAGATAAATGAACAAGATTAAGATTAAGAGATCCTTTATTCGTCCCACATCATGCATATCTTTTGAATATTGTCCATTCTAGACACCTTCATGAGAAAATTTATTGGCCCAGTATTTACAGCAAAATTAGCTCTAAACTAAGACAGTTACAGTTACCACACAAAAATTTTTCAGGTGCCCTCCATTGCAATGTGTCTTTGGAATGTTGTGATGTCACTTGATTGCAATCTTTCACAGCTGAGGAGCATTTCGTGATTTAGGGACCTGTAGAGCTCTGCAGTGAGTTTGAAGTTCAAATGGTCCTGATTCATACCAGAATAAGATAGATACAAATTAACTGGTGTGGCTCAGTTGGTAGAGCATTGTTTTTTGGACCTAATGGTTGTGGGTTTGATCCCCCCTTGACCCATGACACTTAACCACACGTTGCCTTAAGCCCCCGCTGAAACATCACAGCCGTATCTTCGTTGAAGGAGCAGCCATCTACCTGTGGACCCACCACCTGCAGGAGGATCAGCGAGGGTCTGGTGCTTTGTGATTTGGGTGGCAGCTCTGATTGCCACCCCCTTGACCCAGAAATGGATTAATAAAGTGGAAGACAATGACATGAAATGATAATTTAACTATTACACTGTTATTACTTGGTTCCCATTACATTTTTTTAATCTGTGATACGCTGTTAATTCAGCAGCATTGCCCAGGATCATTTGCGCAAAAGGAAAATGATGATCGGTGTCTTGAGCGGAGCTTGCAGGGTCTTGATGTGACCATGTTTAAAATGACGTCATGTAAAGGGTAAGATTCCTAGATCCATCTGGCAAGATGCGTTCTGAAAGTATGAAGACCTCTTTCTTTAATAACATGACATTTTAGTTCAAAATTGAGAATTACATTTCACAATATATGGAGTTTAACTATAATAGAGGCAGTGGGTTATCCTACATTCAGGGCCAGTCATTGTTCTGCAATGTTTTTCAAAGTAACAAACCACTGAGTATTTGAACACAGCAGAAGAGCTACACACAATGGCCCTCATTTATGAAACTTGCGTACGACCAAATCAGGGTGTAAAAGAGGCGAATGCAAAAAATTTACACTTTTCGGCATTTATTAATCTGGACAGAATTTACGGCAAGTCAGTAGGCGGTGTAAATGTGTACGCTCATCTCAACCTTCATCACAACACAATGCAAGATTTGGACAACAATAAACATGTTCCCAGTCTGGCAAAATTATACGCTGTGTTTTCATTGAGCATCACATTTCGAAATTTGAATTTGCGCATCAGACAATGTCTAATGGAAACACGCAAACTTCGAATATATCACAGATCATGATGAGGACCCTCTTCTGTTTCTTTG